TTTATTGTATTGCTCTCGTTTTCTTCTGCTTGTTTTCTTTTTTCTTTCTCAACAGGTGATCCAGGTGATTGATATATGTTTTTTTTGTCTGCTTATTTAGTTGGTTTTTGTTTTTTTGCCCTTTATCCCCGTCCCTCTTCTCCGCTGTTTTTCTTTCCCTCTTCCTTTCTCCCTTTTCTTTTCCTCATTCAAGTCTGTCCCGTATCTAGCAAGTGAAAATAAAAAAAATAAACAATAAAAGGTGAATCAAATAGACCATTATGGCAAGGCCGGGATGGTCCATTTGGTAAAGTAAATCCATTGGGCATCTTTCTTCGCCTTTAGACAATAATTCTGATGGCAAAAGAGCCAAACGGGACAGGCAAAAAGAAAGAAAAAGAAAAGAAACAAAAGTCAAACTCTACAAATTGATGGAGAAATGTGGAGAGAAAAAGCTCATGGCCCAGAGCACCACCCCATCTATCAAACAGGTTGCTTCAGTTATGGCTGCCAGTGAAACTGGCACGCTGGCATTTATTGATGATTTCACTGTAGATGGAAGCAACAGGCTTTATGCAGTACTGTAGAGGAGCTTACTGTGTGTCAAAACTTACTGGATTCATTATTTAGGAGGACAACAATCCCAAACAGAACCTTAAAAAAGAATTTTTAAGGGTAAAGAGGTAGAATATCCTTGACTGCCCGAGTCAAACGCCGGCACAGTCAACGTAGTTATAACTGAGCTGCATCCCATTTGTTGTAGAACAAACTAAAAGCTGCGAGACTCTACAAGCAACGATTGAAGCCAGCTGCAGAGGTGGCCTGAGTGAGCACTGCTTATGGTGTAAAAAAGCCTAGAGCAAACCAAATATGTGATTTGTATTATATTTTCTACAGAACATGTGTCATTTTTATTCTTTTTACAGTATCACTCATTGTTACACTACGCGTGATGGGTTAAAGTTGGGGTAGTATGTGGAGCTGTTTTGCAGCTTCTGGGCATATCCTGCTCACCATCAGTGACAAGGTAATAACTGGGTTAGTGTTCGCTAGCTGAAGCTCAGAAGAGGTTGAATGATGTAGCATGAAAAGGATCCCAAACACTGAAGAAAATCTCATATAATGTGGCTGAGCTGAAGTTGAAAGTAAGAACTGTCAAAAGTTCTTCCTGAATCAGTGAATGTGCTGCGGATCTGATACCAGCTACAGCTCATTTAAGGCTTTCTCTGCCAAAACTCATTCTCGTGTGTGTGTGTGTGTGTTTATGTGATCACAGGTTATGATCACTTGATGTAGAAATTTCTAAAGAGTCTGTATACTCTTGCCCACCACTGTATATTCATTTTTTTTACTAGTGTGCAGTCATTGTAAAGAAGAAACTACACCATCTTTCAAATCAAAGTTTTTTGTGCATCAAGACATTAAAAAAATCATCTGCAAAATACATGACGTAATATATCGTTTCAATATTTATTCAACAATAACCAAGCCAAAATTAGAAGCAATAAATAGATAAATAAGTACGCGCTTATTGCTTCAATAGGAATTGAAATGGTAAGTTGCAGCCAGCTACTGTTAACCATATGCATCTGATTAACTGATCATAAGCAAGTGTGAGCACCTCTATAAGATGTGTTGACAGGTGTTTGGTCTGGAGCAATCTGATGTGTGTTAACATCTTCCCAGGATGTGGACGTCTAAGCAAATTCACTTCTAGATCAGACCGAGCAGTGCTCAGAGAAACTGCGAAAAATTCCAAGAGTGACATCTCAGACGCTTCAGGCCCCAGTAAGCATGTTAAATATTAAAGTTCATGACAGTGCAATCAGGAGAAGACCAAACAAGTATGGCACAAGCACATACTTGCACCTGAACAAATCGCAACACTTGTGGAACGATGTCCTTTGGACAGATGAGACCAAAGTGGAGATGCCATTAAGTACAGCGCCACATTTAATGAAAAGCAAACACAGCTTATTTAAACCAAAAGAAATGCGGTGATGGGACCTTAAGACAGATGTGCATAAACAAATGCCCGCAAACCTCAATTGATGCAACGCCGTAAAGAAAAGGTAAAACAATTACTCGAAGTTATTGCTACTAAAGGTGATTCTGCAAACTTTTGAATAATGTGGTGTACTTAGTTTTTCACACTCCTGCTTCTGCAGTTTGGATTAGTTTTGGTTAAATAACTATAGATACAGTGTAATGGGCCATGTGTAGTTGTTCGCGTGAGGTATTTAAATAAATCCAGAGGCTGTTTTATTATGTTTTCATTTGTAAAATCTTAGAATTGAAAGGGTGTGTGATTTATTTTTATGACGGCTGTAGATGAGACAAACATCTGAGTTCAGCTCAGCGTCTGTGTGAAAAGTACAGCTGAGACTTAATGTCTCATGAGGTAAGACAGACGGTCACCTGAATCAGCTGAGGAACCAAGCATTTTATAAGAGCTGCCTGCAGAAGGCCAGCGAGCAGGAAAACTCAGGATAGCACAACATTCACATCATTTATTCTACTGCAGCAGACAGACAGCGCAAATCTCTGAGGCCACAGTCATTTATTGTAATAATATGTGGCCTATTCCAAGGTCTGTGTTTCTCATGCTGCATCATCTCTTACCGCTAGGTGGAAGCAGAGCAGTTTTATAATCTGGACAAACAAAACCGAATTTTGACCCCCCCACCACAAAAAACAAAGAAAGTTAGTATCAACTTTTAAATTATAACATTCAAGAAATTCTCGTGACAGGCCCATTGTCACTGTTCTTTTGTGAGCTTGGCCTTGGCCTTCCACTTCAGTGGCTGTTCACAGTGACACCCTTTCAAGATTAAGTTATGTCACTAAATTAAAATCACTACTTTTTTGGGCTTTTGTTTCTTTGTTCTTTTAGTAACAGAAACAGAAATAATAAACATAAATGAATAAACCCGCTTCTAAACCCGTGTTCGGGGATTCACCACATGGTGGCGCCACTGACACAGCAAATGCTCCTCATTTAACCAGTTCTGATGTTCTGTGGTGTAATGCCTGGTTATTACTAGAGTATACACAAAGAAAAAATAATAATAAAGAAACTGGTGAAGATTACAGTTTGTAATTTAGCCAGAATACTTAAAAGTCCTCTCCGTTTACTACATTAAAGCGCGAATGCGTCCACTGTGTGAGGTGTTCGTATTTTACATAAGAAAATAGAAATATTGCTCTTTACTCTAAAATGTAAAGCGGCCTATGAACATATTGCGTGGTCTCCCTGCACATACTGTGGTCTGATCGTAGAGACCTTCGGTTGTTACTTTGGTGCTGCCAGCGCTTCTGCACTTCTTACACCCACTATGCGCCCTGCTGCTGAGAAGCACTCCTCCCACCACAGACAAATGGACACAGTATAACTTTTACCACCTGTCGTTTACATTTCGCCGGTTGTGCTTTGTTTTCCGAAACAAGTTATACATTTGAATGCTTGCGTTTATCTAGTTTGTAAGATGATTGCGCCTTTTAGAGTTAATTTTCTCGACTGCGCGCTTAGGATTCGTTTCATTTAAGTATGTCACGGCCGCAGATATGGCCACATTTACGATTTCATGGCCAATTTTGTGATCGTCGCTCCGAGCCTAATTCAAATACTCTAATCTCGGCCATGTGGGATGCGTCTCTGACTGTCTGCACAAGTGGCCAGCAGACAGTAGACTAGCCATCTGGCGCCGTAGGGGGTGCCGCTGCTGACAAATGTGTGCAGGTGACTTGTTTGTTTGAATTCAGACGCGCTGCTCGCATTGGTCCTGCATTTTTGAGCAGACTTTTCATTGTTTTAATGGATGCAATGATTAATGGACTGAGTATGGATCTGAGAGGTGATGGACTCACGCGTAAGCGCGTGTGTGTGTGTGTGAAAACTTCTGATATTTTTTTTTACACCATAACACTGAGTGTGCGCAAGTTACTAGCTAAGTCTTATAGGTGTGATGGAACGTGACAGTGAATTTCTGCACTTCATTTAATTTTCTGCGTGAGTCGATGCCAAAACAGTTTTTGCACCATGATGCACGAGTAGGCTGCATTTAATACACTGAGTAAGAAGTACAGAAGTGATATGATTTGGATAGTCGGGAACTGACTTTTTTTCTGAGTTCTGGGTTTTTTTCCCAGAATTTATGTTATAAAATACCTTAAAAATAAAAACAAGACAAATATAAACACACAAAATGACTTTAAAAGTCTAACATTGTCTGTTCTACGAGTGGTTAATAAAATAGAGTTCTGCTAAATGTTGTATAGGTAAGATGGTTTTAATGTTGCTTTTTTAATTTCTTTCTCATGTTTGCCTCACTGCTATAGTCTCCTCTGCGCTCTGAAAGCTTGTGTAGGTACACGCATATTTAGTATGGTACATTGCTTTTTTTCAATTAATAGTCAGTATTGCAGCCGAACCTGCAGTGTAACCATTCATTATGGCTCTGTGACACTTAGAGACTTTTTTAAGGGAGATAATAGTAATTATTGGTTTGCTGTAGTCTGGTTGTCCGGGGTGGCACGGCTCTCTCCCTTGAGAGATGGGCGCTGTCCAGGGTGCTGGAGATGCTGAAACGCAGAGGTGTAAAGGTCATATTTCTTTCTTTCTTTCTTTCTTTCTTTCTTTCTTTCTTTCTTTCTTTCTTTCTTTCTTTCTTTCTTTCTTTCTTTCTTTCCTGTCTCCCACGGGAACCGTTCACACATCACATTTGGGCACAGTGCCCCTCACCAACATATGTAGCTCTACCACCTAGATCCTCTCCAATCACTGAGACATGAAGAGCAATGTCATCCTTTTTCTTGGTATCGCATCACGTTAGTCTCGCGTCCTTTCTGCTAAACGAGCTTAGATTAGAAATACCTCAGCCCCCTTTTTAGAGTTCAGCTGTAGTGAGGTGGCGGCCGCTTTAAACTGAGCAGGCTTCGACGTCAGAGCCGTTTAAGACATGTGGTTTTGACATCCAATAGCCTGATAAGGGCTTTAGTACCCCCCCCCCCCCCCCCCCCCTTCTCGCAGGAGATCCCTCTGGTGAAAACCAGTGTAGACGGGAGTTAGCCACGGCTGCAAGATCACCAGATTCAATTAGGAGCGAGATTCCCTGCTCACACCTGCAGCAGCACTTCGTATTCCCAGCTAGAACCTCGATTTAGCGAACATGTCTGTAGCGGGGCTGAAAAAGCAATTCCACAAAGCCACTCAGGTAAGAAGATGCGGCGTACGGTGCTCCGGCTCTCACTAGATCTTCCACTTACAGTGTCACGTTGTCTGGGGGAGGAGGAGTGGCGTAAGGTTTGGAAAAGCAGAGATTCATCCCCAACACAGTGATGATTAATTCACGCTAAATGTCGCTGCATTAACACGCAGTGTTGTTGCGAGTCGTGCTCCATTTATCACCTACAACCTCTGGTGTTTTTGTGGTTCTGGGGTGCACTCCGCTGAAAACACTGGCGTGCTGCAGCACTGCACCAACGGGAGAATGCATCAGTCGTGTTTGACTCCGGTGGTTATTCAGTGCGTGACGGGGAAAACACGATAATTATTCAGTGCCACGCTTTTTGCGTGTCCATCTGGGAGCCAGATGGCACAACACTGTGATGACAGTGATGTCGGGAACGTCGGTTCTTCTCCGTACCCTTCAGATGACATTCCGCGCTGACAAGCATCGGAGCTGCAGCTCATGCTTGTCGCTCACTCTTGCAATGCGCAAGTTGTGGCCCTGAAATGAAGGACGAGTTAAGTACAGGAGACACTCCGAGGCGCACCTCGTTATGCAATCGTTAAGTGCGCCTTGACGGAAATCCGCTCCTACCAGCATCGGCACGCCATGACCTCTGCGCCCTCTAAATGCACTTATCGCCTTTTGCGGGACACCAGGTGATAAATTGAATTAAGCATCCATCACTGAATCATCGGTTATTATTATTATTATTATTGTAAGGCGCAAGCCCACCGCAAAGGTATTCTGTTCAAGGTTACCCAAAGCGCTTTCTCAACTCTCTCATTTTAGGCTAGTCGTGTATTATTATGTTATTTCAGGTCAAAGTGCACAACCTGAAGGTTTAATCACCTTTAACTCGGGAGCCAATCAGAGTGCTCTTAAGTGAGACCTTGAATGTATGGGCTCATCAGCAGCTCAAAGGCCTTGAGTGAGTTTTATTTCCTCTAGCTTGGAAACTTCGGGAGGTTTTCCATTTATAGGGCTGAGTCACAATGACACTGTCCACTAGCTTCAGGGCCCTCACTGCAAGACACACAGAGCCTGTGTGAGTCACACACACACACACACACACACACATGTGTGCCCTCCCCCTCATTGTTCAGCAGTTTATTCAATCTCAGAATGGCCTTAGTGACAAGTCTCACTTTGCATTGTTCTTCAACTTTATGAGCAGCTGTCTCTGAGATGGAGGGGAATAGTGCGTTGAATGTGACAGTAATAATCACATGTCTATTCAGGGTCTCTGCCTGGAGATACTGAACACTCTTAATTGCAGGTTGAAACTGACTAACTGAGAATTAAGTAGCAGCTCGTGAGGAGAGGAGTTTACTGAAACAATTGGCAGCTCGAGATCCAACATCGACATGCAGTAGACTCTGTTATTGTTTTTTCATTTGTTTTTCACATCTCCCAACATGAGTCATTTATATTAGTGCTAATGTCACACTGACATTTGTAAGGCCTGTGTTGATAATGAATCATACATTCTGACTGCATGTTCCCAAAGAGCAGTGCTTGCAGATCACCGCTAGGTGCGTTATGTTTGGAAGACTGGATCGGGTTCGAGTGTTAAATAAAAGACAAAGTGAAGTAATTGGGAACAATCTCAAATTGCTGTTAACACATTTCTCAGTTTTAATCAAGAGCTCATTTTATCTGATTTGAAATGGACAGCAGCCCACACAGGGCATTGGATGGCTGCACTGATTGTGTTAATTCTGTGTGATGAGTCTATTGTCACCCATTAGCACGCCCTCCCTCTCCTTGCAGATGTTCCTTTCTCGTCATCAGATGAATCTGTGTGTGTGTGTGCGTGTGTGTGTGTGTGTGTGTGTGTGTGTGGGTGTGTGCGTGCGTGCAGGCGCAAGAGAGTAAAAGAGAGGTGGGGATACACATAAGCATTTATATTTGTAAATATGCATAGATTTATGTGGATCTGTGCATGCATAAAGAGGTGTTGTTGACTGTCTAAATATGCAGTAACTGTATCTGAACTTGAAGATTTTTACTTGGTGCTGTCTTCAATAATCTGTTTTATTCCCAGTGTGATTTAATCAGCTTTAGGCTCACAGAGTGTCGTCTCTGTGGTCTCCTGCTGTCTGTTCCTCAACATTACACACACACACACACACACACACACACACACACACACACACA